ACTAGCTGGGCCCCCTTTCGATGAAAGGAATGAACGGTGCATTTACATCAACTGAAAGTCATTAGCCTACTATATTTCCACTCTACTGGAATGGAGCAATAAATCTTGAGAGATGCAAAAAAAATAGAAGGTCTAGATCTAGATCTATACTCTCAAAACAAAATGCGCCTCGCAAAATATGACTTCCGCACCGGATTTTCGAAAATTACAGAGACAGAAACGTCGGCCTACTCTTATCGATTTTGAACCACCAAGGGATCCTTAAAACGTGCGCAGCTAGCACACGGGACCTCCAAGATTTTTCGCCCTTATCACTATTATCAGAGAAAGATAGGTATTAGATCTTACCTGCCTTAAGACCAAGGGTTCAGCTGACAGACAGCGCCAAGAATTAGCCAAGAAGTAAGATTTATCGTCTGTTTACCTTGTCGTTGAGCACGGATATTAATCTTTGCCGTCTGCTCAGTCAGCGTGTTTGATCTTTGCAATGATGATCGTTCGGTGTTTGGTGAGAGTTTTACGGCATTCGCAACTACATCAGGTTATAAGAGTATCTCAAAGACGGTACAGGCAGTTATTTGAAATGTTCCTTGAACAATAAACGATGTATTTTTATCAAGAGTCGGGGGCTTCTTTTTAAATACCCATCCACTGAATAGGACCGAGTCAAACGGGTGCGGACTCATGAAGAACGTCACACTATACAACGTTGTGATTACACTCAAGGGGATTTGAACCAAGGATGACAGTACTGCAGCCAAACATAATGACGGTAATAATATTAATAATGACTGCATTTATATAGCGCATACCCACGCTCTACGGAACGCTTTATGCGCCTTACAACTGCTATTACCCCAGCAGACCATAGAACACTCAGAGACATTATCGGCTTCCCGGGAAGCATACAGTGCAAGCAGCCGATTAAGCGCTCGAGCGCTAATAATAAACTGACAAGATCGTTCGCTGTCTAAAGCCGGGTACCCCTTCCCACCTGGGTGAAGTGGGGGGGGAAATTGTGGGGGAAAAATGCCTTTCCCATGTATAAAAAGTGCCTGAGGACTGAGGAGATTCGAACACACGATCTTACGGTTTAGAGTCCGAGAGCCTAACCACTAGACCATCGACGCCACAGAACCCAAACGAGCAAAAGGCGAGAGCCACTCTTGCGAAAAGACGGCGTCAGAAAAAAACCAAACACCGACAGAATCATAATCAGATAGTTCACACAACAGTACAAGGG